GAAGACAAACTTATGGCCACTATAGATAACAGACATATTTAATATACTTGTATAACTGGTTCATGCCAAGCTCCTAACCATTTGACAGTACATTCCATTGAAAACACACTTATGGCCACTATAGATGACAGACATATTTAATATACTTGTATAACTGGTTCATGCCAAGCTCCTAACCCTTTGACAGTACATCACATTGAAGACAAACTTATGGCCACTATAGATGATAGACATATTTAATATACTTGTATAACTGGTTCATGCCAGACTCCTAACCATTTGACAGTACATCCCATTGAAAACACACTTATGGCCACTATAGATGACAGACATATTTAATATACTTGTATAACTGGTTCATGCCAAGCTCCTAATCATTTGACAGTACATCCCATTGAAAACACACTTATGGCCACTATAGATGAGAGACATATTTAGTATACTTGTATAACTGGTTCATGCCAAACTCCTAACCATTTGACAGTACATTCCATTGAAAACACACTTATGGCTACTATAGATGACAGACATATTTAATATACTTGTATAATTGGTTCATGCCAAACTCCTTACCATATGACAGTATATCCCATTGAAGACATGTTTATGGCCACTATAGATGACAGACATATTTAGTATACTTGTATAACTGGTTCATGCCAAACTCCTTACCATGTGACAGTACATTCCATTGAAGACAAACTTATGGCCACTATAGATGACAGACATATTTAATATACTTGTATAACTGGTTCATGCCAAACTCCTTACCATGTGACAGTACATCCCATTGAAAACACACTTTATGGCCACTATAGATGACAGACATATTTAGTATAATTGTATAACTGGTTCATGCCAAACTCCTTACCATTTGACAGTACATCCAATTGAAGACATGTTTATGGCCACTATAGATGACAGACATATTTAATATACTTGTATAACTGGTTCATGCCAAAATGTAGACTGTGGCTTTAAACAAACCAAAGATTTAAAATTTCATTAGTCCTGCATCTTTGGAACTTGACAGGTGTATAATTAAATTGGATTAGTCTGATTATAGGTTCTTTGCCATCTTTCTCATGAACGTAGTTGTTGATTCGGAGATGTACACTTGAAGCTTGTAAGCTTTTGGTTGTAAACCTTTATGAGCTTCAAATCCTTGTAGTTGTATTGTTTACAGTACCTGGAGATATGCCAAGCTTCATCACGATGACATTTTGATTCAGAGAGCTTCACTTTGTGAATGAAAGCATTGCTCCAGATTAGTTAATGATGCACCATAAGTAGTCCTTTGCTGTCCTATTACACAGAAACATTCTTATGTAAACGAACCTTACCTTTAACCCCATTATTAAAGTAAGGTATCAGAATATACCACAAAATTGTCATCTATTTTTGTATTCTAATTCATGTTATGTATTGTATTTCTTTTTCACAAGGGAAGGACGATGTGTTTGGGGAGAATCCATGTAGTTATTCTACTGTTGGTAAATCCAGTTGTAAAGTGCGTGCCTTGACTTACTGTGATCTTCATAAGATTTTTCGCGATGACCTTCTAGATGTTTTACAGATGTATCCAGAATTCTTCGAGACTTTTTCCAGTAATCTGGAGATAACATTTAATCTGAGAGACGTGAGTACAGTTTTATATTTTAAAGTCTGAATAGATCTCATTGTTACAATTATGAAAGGTATAGTGAAGGTTAATCACACTTTGTAGGAATGATGTTCCAAGTCTTTTTAACTACTGCATCCGTTATCTATCATATTTAAACTGATGGCTATGATTACACATTATTGCCCAGTATCACAGTTTGTATAATAACAAGCTTCTGCCAAAAATAGCAAACACAGTCTTAGACCACACATCTTAACAAATTTTCTGTACACATTCCAGTGTCTGTCATACAGAGATAAAGATGAGCTAATCAGTGTTGACATTAGAGGAGTGGTTCATGTGTTGGTGCAGTTTTCCTGTCATACAGATATACAGATGAGCTAAACAGTGCTGAAAGTAAAGGAGTGGTCCATGCACTGTTTCAGATATTAGAAGACGTACTCGGTTTTTCTGTCATACAGAGATAAAGATGAGCTAATCAGTGTTGTTTCCAGCCCAGTGGTCCGTGTTCTGTTACAGTTTTTCTGTCATACAGAGATAAAGATGAGCTAATCAGTGTTGTTTCAAGCCCAGTGGTCCGTGTTCTGTTACAGTTTTTCTGTCATACAGAGATAAAGATGAGCTAATCAGTGTTGTTTCAAGCCCAGTGGTCCGTGTTCTGTTACAACAGATGAATATTAGATGACTGTAATGTGTATATACTCAATGCTTTGTACACTATACAATCGGTGTATTTAAGGAGTCAACCACTATATTACTTATGAAGTGAAGGAATAAAAATCAATACACATAATATTAAATTCTATTACACACGTTCGTAGAATAATTACTTTAAAAGACACAAAGTTTTACTTAAAGCAATATTTAGATATATATATATATATATTATTTCCAAAGGCTGCTTTTCTACTGGTAAAATTTTATACGCACTTAGTGAGGGTTGTGTCTTTGGATAGGCATATATTTGCCTTTTGCTATGCATTATTTATAGAGAATTTAGTTACACAGAAACTACAAATGCTCACTATATTCTCGAACTAATGCGATCAAATAGTCAATAGCTACAGTAAATCATCATGAACCGTATCAGCTAGCTACTAGATATGTTTATTATCATTACGATGTATAAAGTTAGCTATCATATCTAGTAATCCTTTGCCCACAGTTGAGCATAAAAAAAGCCAGCAAAGAAGATGAATAAACAATTGATAATTTAAAAACCTGCCAATAGGGGTCGTAAAATAATGTAAGGAAACAAAGCTGTAGGTACTGTAGACATTATTTATCCAAACCACAAATCCCTACTTTGACTCCACTAAATGTAATTCTTGAAGATGATTAAGTTATCGACACTGATTACCTGTGAAGACACTGCAAGGCTATAGCCGTAATACTTCAATGTAACGATTTCCATAGTAACGATGGATCACTTATGGCTTAATGGCGGAATATACACATACCTATCATTATGATATGAACATTGTTACAGAATAACTAATTTCTGAAGAACCCAGATTGAATTTCTTCTTTTTTTACCTTCTTACGTATATAAGGAAAACAGAGAGGGAAAAGCATAATCACTTATTGTTTCAAGCCCAGTGGGTTGGCTGATAATTCCTGTTTCATCCTGTACTTAACCTTTTTAAAGGAACAGATAAATATTAGTAAGAAAGCTAACTTCAAGGGGTAATGATAACATCGTTTACACTAGAATTATGATGTTTTTTAGCTTATGTAAACTAAAGAAGAAACAAATCGACTTTTCAATACAACCATCACAGTATCTTATTTAATATTCTACAAAAGGTATGGATACAATATACCAAACCCTTTTTTGGTTGTAGGCTGGAAAGAGAATAAAAATAAAGAGACGAATTACAAACAGGCCGTTTTGAGAAGATTTTATTTTCCTTGCAAGTCTAATATGCGTAGTTTTTGTGCATTTTATATGTGTACAACCTTAGCAGTCAATAGTAAAGGTTTTAAAAGTGATGTTTGAACTGAATCTTTACTGTTTAAGGTGCGTTTTGCCCGGACGTTCTATTAGGGTTTTGTGCAATTCCTTGCGATCCCTATTATAAATCACTATCGTGGTTTATGACATGTGGTCATAACCTTACAGTGTCTAGATACATAATCATTTATGTGTGATTGTAACCTTACAGTCTTGACGTACATATACGTTTATATGTGGTTAAAACCTTCCACTGTCTACCTACATATAGGTTTTGTAAGTAAACTCATTTCATCTAGACGGCTGAGTAGACAACAATATAACGATTTGTTTGTTGACTCATTTCGTCTAGACAGCTGAGCAGACAACAATATAACGATTTGTTTGCTGACTCATTTCGTCTACAGATCTGAGCAGACAACAATATAACGATTTGTTTGTTGACTCATTTCGTCTAGAGAGCTGAGCAGACAACAATATAACGATTTGTTTGTTGACTCATTTCGTCTAAAAAGCTGAGCAGACAACAATATAACGATTTGTTTGCTGACTCATTTCATCTAAAAAGCTGAGCAGACAACAATATAACGATTTGTTTGCTGACTCATTTCGTCTAAAAAGCTGAGTAGACAACAATATAACGATTTGTTTGCTGACTCATTTCGTCTAAAAAGCTGAGTAGACAACAATATAACGATTTGTTTG